TCCAAGCGAGGGGAAAAATTCCGAACGGGCTCCAGGGTGCCCTTTCTGCAATTTTCATTCTGAAAATCACGTGGAAATCGCAAGGAGAAATCACTGGAAATAACCGACACGTTCCCACAATTTCTAAGATGGAACGTCACTTGTTACCGAATCTCATTGTTTTTTTTTTAATCATCGTTTTCACTGATTTCCGAGGGAATCCCTGACCTGGAGCACCCCGAGTAGAAATGATAACAGGGTCCCGATCGGAACCTGAGTTTGGCGTGAGGGTCCTGATAAGGACCCTATTATCGTTTCTACTCGGATAAGAGTATCCAAGGGACCCCGAGGATCGGAAGATCCTAAGTTTCTGGCCACTCGACGGGGACCTGCTTAGCCGAATCCCCCTCTTCGGGGCGGACTCTTCCAAAGTTGCGAGGATTTTAATTCCTACCCTGAAGAGGGTGCATAATGGCGGACACGAGCGAGATCCTCCCGCAACTAATTAAAATCCGCCATAAGGATACGCGTTAAGCCCGGTCCCTGAGCAATGAACCTGGCTGCCGAGGAGGCCATATACGCCCACCGGAGGCGATTTGACACTTCATTATTCCCCGGCGAGCCGGACCACGTGGAACCCTGTCATTAAAACGAGATTAGTTTCGTAATCGTAAGGCCCGGGGTCCGTGTCGTTCCCGGACTCCTCGTCTCGGCGGAAACCGGCGATGAGCGAGGGCGGACCTGGAGGGTGGCAACGGAGAAAAGGGCCCCCAGACCTCGAATGCCCCGTGAAAAAGTCCCATCTAATTCGATCTAACAAGGGTAATTTCATAATGGGCCCAGATAATCGAAGAGGGAAGTTAAAGGCCATCACTTCGGGAAAGTAAACGTGAACTGGTACGGGTACTTCTGCGTCGGCGCGTCGCTTTATCCCTTTTTTTTTTTTTTCAGGATCGACTCGAGGAGCGGAGGAGAAAGGAAAACCGAAGGAGTAAAGTAACGAGGAAACGAGTGCGAGAAAAGTAGAAAGAGAGAGGGAGGGAGGACGGGGGGCACTCGTAAAGAAGAGAATGCACGGAGAGGCTGGAAGGGGATAAAGATGGGCACCTTGGGGTAAGGAAGAGTAAAAGGCGGACAGAGGGGACCGTAAAGGCAGGGGGAAAGATGGCGGATGAGTCGATGCGTTCGATTTATTCTCCTAAGTATTTACTCTCTCTTTCCTCCTCTCCGGAGAGTCGGCGGTCGACAAAAACCGGGGCGTTCTTTCCGCAATCTCCGTTACGTTCGTTTACAACGCCAAGGTCGGCAAAGGTAAACGACCTTCCGTCTTGGCCACGTCTAACCTCCCGATCGTATCTCGGAGAAACCTCCTGGTTTCTCGGTCCTCGTCCTCGATCTCCCGAGGAACCCGGGGCCCCCGGCTAGAGGGTGGAGGCCGAAATTCCGCGCGGAAAGCGCGGCCTTCCGCCATCGCGCGCGTTTAGGTAAATCCCGCGAAAGGGACGTGGCGTCTACCCCCTGGGGGGTTCCCGGGGGGTTTCGACGGGCGCCTCGCGATCCGGGGGCATTACGTACCCGTAACGGTCCCGCAACGCTAATGCTCGCGGTTCTCCGTTGGCCGAGCTTACGGGGCATTAGCGTCACGCGTGGAACGGTCAACGCATCGGACGCGCAGCCACCGACCCGTGAAACCAGGATCGGATATATGTAAATGCGTGTACATGCCCTGGCAAGGGTACCATCCACCCTGGAGACCGCGTTCCAAGACGGGGAGACCGGGAGGGAGGGCAGCTCCGCTTTGTCCGACACCCACTGGACCGGCTCCTGGAAGCTGCGGATCGTGGGAATGGTCCAAGGTGCCGGACGGCGGCTCGATCGCCTCTTTACGAGCGCCACTTGCAAATTGGACCGATCTCTCCCGGCCTGGGGGGAACGGGCCCCGAAGAGGTGCCCCGGTCTCCGTAATCGGCAGTAACGGCCGACCGGTCGACGAATCGTCCTGCCGCGGCGTCCTCGAGGGCGCGGCTCGGCCGGGCCCTGGGAAGCCGACTCCCTGGCGATCCGGACCAGTCTTTTCGCACTTGGACATCTTCCTCTCTCTCTCCCCCCGACCCCCTCGGGCCGGCCTCCACCGTTGTTTCGCTCCGAGGCAGTCTGTACTTGGCGCGGCGCTTGGTCGCGCGCGTAACGTTTTCTTCTCTTTCCTCCTTTTCTTCCCTTCCTCCCTGGCTCCTTTTTTCTCCCTTTCTCCTTTTTGCGAAAATGAGAGTTTACTGCCTTCCACGGCAAGAATGCTCCTTTGTCTCTTTATGGTCTGAAAGTGCCCCGCGAGAGCGTGGATGGTGGTTTGCGAAGTGCTCGCCGCGCCGCTCGGCGTCTCGGACGCCACGAAGAAGTACGGTCGGATAATAACGAGTTTCGCTGTCGTCCCTTCGACCGGCGTAGCGCAAGCCGTAAAGCTACCCTCCGTTTTTCTTCCCGGTAGACGGTGTCAAATTTTTATGCGCCAACGAGCCTGTGTCAAGACGTGCCCTCGTCACGTACGCGCCGTCTGCGTGTGTCGGACCACTCGCGGATCTGGTTCGCCCTCGGCCGAGTCTTCGGCCTCCGCTCTCTCGGTAGCCCGTCCGAGAGGAGCACCCTCAAGGATTCGTCCTCTGGACCCGGCCCGGAATGGGCCGCCAAGGAAATTTCGACGCCGCCGGTTCCGGGAGAGAGGAATCCTCCAGACGCTCCTCCGCCAAGATGGCCGCCTCAGCTTCCGAATTCGGGGCCCGTAAAATCCCGACCGCGGAGGCTGAGCCTCCCGTTTCCTCCTACTTTTCGACTCCCTGCGATCGCTTTGTCGCCCCTGGGCTCGCGGCTCGAACCCTGACAAGGAATCTCCCGTAAATCTCCCCGCTGATTTATGCGCCTTAACCTTTTCGATCGCTGACGTGTCCATCTTTGTTGCAGACCCCGGACGCTGGGCGGAAATATATCACTTGGCGCAATTTCACCAAAGGGGACCCCGAAGACCGCGATACGAGCCTCGGACAAGGAAGGGTAAACTTTTCAGAGGAAGAGGCGCGACTGTAAAACGTCCCTTTTCCCAGGCGACGAGTCCATCTTATCTCCTACTTTTCCACAGGTCTACGAGCTGGTGGAACGTTAAATATACATTCATAAGAAATGTTGATTTTACGTGTTAACTTCATCCCTTTTATCCCCAGCTGAAAAGAACCTACTTTAATGCAACGTTTTAACGTTATTTGAATATATATACTAAACGATCATGAACTACCACTTTATGTACATTGTGCGAGATGTCGCGGTTTCTGGAAACGTAAGTGACGTCACTGGAGAACCGGTGACCAAAACGAGGAGGGTAAAGAATAGCGACTAATTGCGGGAGAGGGGCCAAAATTGTAAATGAAAATCGTAAATACGTGAAAAATGGCGATAAGTGTCCGCGGGAGGGTATGCAAATTAGAGATTTCCATTTGATTAACTCGGGGCCCTCGAAAGCCGGCCGGGGAGCTTCAAAGTTCCATTACCCGGAAGGCAATGAATGCGGATCCGCGCCCGAATTCAGGATCCTCGAGTCGGCCGATTTCCGGTATTCCCCGATCCCGGGTAAATTCCGCTCGGCAAAAGAACCGTCAGGTCCGCCGCGTTAATCGTCCCGACGCATATAATACCATTTGCAGGGATCATTTGCCGGCGAATGAAGATCGCGTGCCTGCGGTAAGTTCGCGGTGGTAACGCGATGTTTTCCCCGCTCGGTCGGTCGCTCGCGCGCGCGCTTTTCCGCCCGGAAGACGCATTACCAGATTGGCTCGCACGGTTAGCATTCACCCGGTCTTTTACATTCATGAAGCTTTTATTCGGTTGATTTGACTCCGCGTTTCGTATTCACGGCTCTCGATTTGATTTGCATTGATTGGAGTGCTGGCTTTCCCGTGCGCCCGTACGAACACCCCCGCCCGGTTGCTTTCGCGTTCCGCACCCCTGTCCGGCGAAAAGCTCCGAACCCGCAACGCGGTGGAAACGCGTCGTTCTCCCGGCTGCACTTCGCCATCACTAAGCTAATTGGCGGGCCGGGCTCAAATCGCGATAAATCCCGAATAGTTGCGAGGTGTACCCTCCGGCATCGAGGTATCTGCAAATCAGGCGTCCGATATAATCCTTATTTCCATATATCTGTTTTTCTAGGAGGGGATTAGATTTCCCATTTTTTTCCTCCGACGAGGGCTGCCGACCCCGCAGAAGGGGCTCCAGCGTTGACGGCACGAGTCGATGATTAATCGATCACCGGCGATTGTCCAGGGCCTCGGACTACTGGAAGCCTTCGCAGAAGGCGATGATGAAAAATTAAAAGCCGCGCGAAATGTTTGACGCGGCCCGCCCGAGGGACGCGGAGTAAAACCGCAGATTACGGGGCGGGGGCCATTAATAAGAATCACGCGAGCGGTGCCGGAAATGTTTATAACGTAACGCGGTAATACATTACGCTCCGAGCTGGATATGCCGCTCGTGCACAGATACGGATTCAAAATTATGCGGCAATAATTCACGAACGGTCCTATCCGAGGTCAATAGACACGGCCGACTAGGTGCGCGGATTACGATTCTGGTAATTATGTTTTCATCGCTGGGGGATAGATTCGTACGGCGGCAGGAAATTTTACGTACTTACGGGGGTGGACCATTTCGGGGGTGATCCGTGATGCACGGTCGAAGTCACCGGATAGGCGAGATCAAAACGCGAGAAGGAGATGCCGCGGATAACGGCGGCTCTCCTGAATACGTAATCGACGAGCGATGATTTTCCAGTTTTCCGGCGAAGTGCCAGTCTAAGGGCCACCTGGAGGTTTCCCAGATCAAATTGATTCGTACACGTAGCTCACGTCATAACTCAGGGCTACAAGCGACGTGGTCTCTTCGGCACTTTTGGACGCCGTTCCCTCTCCGTTCCTATCCGCTTGGAGTTAAAATTCCACGGTAAACTGGAGTAAAGGAAGGTCCATTGTGTCGAGCCGTCAACAGACGTCCCTCTCTTCGGGGTCCCCGTGCAGAGTCCTGAAGAAATCTACGGCAGGGTAAGTTTTCAGCCTCAGGAGCTCGTGCTCGGTCTGCAGGGCCAAAAGTTCGGAGTAGTTCGTCTGCAGTTTCCTGACCAGCTGGGACCTCTGGACCAGTAAGCTCATCTTCCTCTCCTGGTACACCCTCTCTCGCCCTTCCGCCGGGACGTCTCTCTTCAGCTCCATCTCGCAGCGCAGAACGTTCAGGTTGGTCACCAGACGGTCCAGGAGACCGTTGCTCTTTTTCACACCCTCGATCCTGGCCTCCACCTCGTCCAGTCTGTCCAGCCAGTTTCGCAGGACCTTCTCGGAACTCTTCCGCATAAGTTCCAGCTCTCGCTCGAGATGCTGCTGAGACTTGTCGTCCTTGTACCCGCGAGCTCTCCTCTTCAGGTACACCTGGATGTCCCTCGTTACGACGACGTTGCGCACGCAGTGTAGCTCCTCTTGCAGATCCTCGATCTTCATCTTCAGACACCTGTGCTCCCACTCCTTGAAGAGGATCCCTCGCCTGAAGTTGATCGTCCTGTTCATGGCGACCAGTTTTTGGTTACCGGCGTTCAGAATAACGCGATTCACGCCCTCGATGTCGCCCCTGAAGATCAGGATGGCATTGTCGGTGTCGCCTCGAGAACCGCGACGGCTCACCTCCACCTGGCCCATTTTCAGGATCAGCTGCAGCTCGACGTTCTGGTCAAACTCCGTCCTATGCTGGCGCAGACTCGAGATCCTGTTCTTCAGCTCGTCGATGTCGACCTTGCGAGCTGCGACTTTTTTCTCGAACTCTTCCACGGTGCTTTCGGCCTCGGAGATGCTCGACGCCAGGGCCTGGACGCGCATTTCCGTGTCTACTTTCAGTCTTCGATGCCGAGTCAAGTTCTCCCACTGGCAGGTGTCTACGGTCGTGGGGAGAGTCGCCGGTCTGGTGTCCAGAGAATCCAGAGACCTGAGGTAATCCACGCTCTCTGGGAGCAAATGAGACGACTTGTTCCCCGACACCGCACACTTTCCCAGCTCGATCAATTCGCAGGCTACCAGAGTTCTCGGGGAGGCGCGTGGTCTCTTCTTGTAGTGCCTCGTCAGCATCTCCGCGATTGCTTTGGACCCAGTCAGAACTTCACCCTTGAACCTCTTCTCCAGGATCCTCTCCCGAGCCGCCAAGCTGTCCTGTTGGGACCTCAACTCCATCGCGGAATTTTGCAACGTCTTCAAGACCTCGTGCAACGTGGCCATGTCCTTCTGCTTTTCGACTATCTGCACCTTGTAGGAGTCCTCGTCGGCGAATGAATTGATCCTAAAGAAATGTCTCAAGAAACCGCGCGCAATGCGGAGTTCCAGTTGCTTTATGGCAGCGTCCAACTTCAGCTTCGTCAAGACGAAGTCCTCCACCCTGGAGTTGAACTTGCTCACGCTTTCTTTCAGGGCTTCGTTGATCTTCACGCAGTCAACCTCCAACAGCCTGCGGTACCTAGAAGTGGACATGGAAGACATTTCAGGAGACATTCTTCATCAGACGAAGAGGCTCTTCGTGGGTGGACGTACCTTTCGCGTTCCTGCATCAGGAACTCCACGTCCTTCTCGTACTTTTTGACCTGCAGCAAGTCCTCCGCGGTGTACTGGTCAGGCTTTTTTTCCAACATGCAACGAGGCTTCGGCACGTCTTTTTTTATGACGTCCTCCCAGCGAACCTCCAAAACGCCGTCCATCATCTTCATCAGCGCGCGCTCCCGGAAGTCGTCGGCCAGAAGAAGTAGCCTCAATCTTTCGGCCTTGGCAGCCTGTCTGTCGAGGATTTCTTGCTGAGAGGGCGAGATGTAGGGTTTCGCCTTGACTTCGTGGTCCAGGACCCTGACGATGCTCTCCGGCTTCTCTTTTGGATGCCACTCAGGGTCGACCGGCGCCTCCGGAACGGATTGGCCGAACATCAGACGCAGTTCCCGGTCCACGTGGCGGATCCTCTCGTTCCTCTCGTTCACGAGGTTCATCTCCCTCTCTTTCATGTAATAAGTCTCCTTGAATTGCTTGTTGAAGTGCTCCCTCAATCTTCGGCAGTCGTTCTCCAAGCCGCGACAGTCCAGCAGCAATTGGCCGTAGCTGTAGAGTTCAAACTGAGAGAAGTAGTAATTACTGGTCTCGACGAAGCGATAGGTGGTCATGCCTTCCAGATTCCTCAGGTTCTCCACCTCTTCGGGGCTCGGCTCCTTTTCCTCTTCGTCATCGGCCAGGAGAGCTTCTATGCGTTTCTTTTCGTCGTGCCTCAGCAAGCGGGAGTGCCGACCAACGGCCTCTTCGAGTTGTTCCGAAGTATAGGCGCGCCATGGGCAGAAGGCTTCCGGCTCCATCATCTCCCTGAAGACATCTCGCGAGTATTGGGCCCATCTCAAGAAGTCCTCCTGATGAGGCTCCTCCGCGACGGAGGGGTAGTTGGTCACCTCGGTGGACCCGAAGATCGAGAATATGGACTGGCCGATGGTCCTCTGAAGGTCCCAGAAGGTGCTCTTGATCCAGGCAGCCACTCGGTCCATGGAGCTGCAGCTGGACTCCAGCTCCAGACGCATCTCCTCGCGCTCGTCCCTCGCCATCTTCATCCTCTGCTCGCGGCCAAACTTGTCCAAGTCAAACGCCGAAAGAGGCAGTCGCTCGATCTCCGGACAGACCTCGTTCTCGTGCAGCATCCTGGCGACCTTCTTCCTCAGAACAGCGAAATCACTCAGAATGGCGGCTCTCTTTTCGGTGCACTCTTCAGCCGCCCTCCAAACGTTTTTCTCCAACTGCCATTCCTCCCACGTCTTGCCCTCGTGTTCCTTCCGGGGTGGGAATTCTTGCAGAGGGTGCAGAAGCATGGAATTCACCTGAGGATCCAGAGACGCGTAGTCCTCGGATGCCCTCCTGGTCCTGTCATCGTTCTCCAGGTGTAGATCTACCGGTTGCTTGGTCACTTCGTAAAAGTTCTCCACGCTGTTTCGAGGTTCCTCCTGGTTCTTCGTTAGTCTCATGCAGACGAGGGTGCCGGTACTCCCCAGGGCAACCACCATGTCTCCGGAGGGTCTGGTGATGGCTCTAGAGACCCCCAAGTCGCTCCTATGATGGGTCATCATGGTCGCCAGGCACGATCTCGCATCCTTGGTCCTGATCGCGACTGTCCCGTCGAAACTGGCGGTGGTGACGAACCGATGATCGCAGGAGAGCCTGGGTCTCCTGACCTGGTGACCGCAGGACAAGGCATCCGTCACCTGCAGCTCCTTGAACCTCTGCAACGACATCACCCATAGCTGCTTCGACAGGTATGGCGTACCGATGAAGCTCGTAGGGGACCCAGGGAGATACCACAGGTATTGGAAGTACCTCGGCATCTCGAATCTCCTGACGACCCCGGAAAACTGGTCCTCCCCAGGATGCAGCTCGAGGAGCTGGACCTCGCTTCCAAAGGCGGCCTGCCTCGGTTTGACCAGAACGATCAGCTTAAATTCCCCATGGTGGTCGTACAAGAGGATGTCCGAGATGTCTTGCCTCGCTTCCGCCTTGGCCACGATCTTGAAGGTGGTCTTGCCGCGGGTCAGACTCAAACAATAGCACACGCCCGATTTGGATACTCCCGCGATCAGATACTTCCCGCTTTGAGAGAACTTGAGGAGGTCCAGGCCGTTCCTCTGGAGATGATAGCGCAACAGGACTCGCGGCTCCGTAGGGTTCAACAGACCGACCAAAGCGAGTTCCCCGCGATCGGTGATAACCGCGACCATCGGATGGTCCAGGTGGGACCTCATCCCTGTGATGTCCCCCATGAGACCCAGCTCCAGCTGGCCGACCTGGACGGCGCTGAAGGAGTCCAGGACCTCGATGTCCCTGGGGTTGTCCACGACCACCAGGTGGTGACCCCAGGGATGGACGAACTCGACGAAGCGGTAGATCCCCCCGTAGTGAAATCTCCGCTGAATGGTCGGAAGTTTGGCGTTTCCACTGAAGTCGATCTGCATCATGTGTCCCTCGAAGGTGTGGTAGAAGAGGCGGTCGTGTTTGAAGGGGTGCGAGGTGAGGTTCGAGGGCTTCTTCGTGGTCTTCAGGTACCACTCCCGGCGCCACTGATTCTTCTCGTTCTTACGGTAGTACCTGATCTGGCAGAAGGTGGTTCGCAGTACTATGCCCTCCCGGAACCAGCGGATCTCCGGTCTCTCGACTTCCACGCAGATTCCGCACCGCTGGGACAGGACTATTCTGTACACGTGGGTGGCGTCTTCGTTGCTGAGGTAAATGTGACCGTGCTGATCGACGACGGCCAGCAGGTGCTCCTCCGACGTGGGGCACCAGTCAACGTCGGTGGCGAGTGCTCGATGTGGCAAGGTAACCGGGTGCTCCTTCAACAGGACGTTCTTTCCGGACACGTTGGTCTCCCAGATGGAGAGTTTCCCCGAGGTCCAGCCCATCTGGGCCACCTGGGTCGGCCTGGAATGGGTGAGCCTGAGGAGCTGCCGGTCCACGTCCTGGATCGAGGTGTTGGTCACCGAGACCTTCTCGCCCGTTCTCCAGGACCAGAACATCAGGGGGAAGTCGGGGTAGGACCCCAGCGATATGATGAACTCGTGGGCGGTAAAAGCGGTGGCCAGGTACTTACTGGCACATCCTCGATGGCACTCCGAGAGTTTGGCCATCGAGGGAAACGCGTGGACGAAGATGCGAGGGTTTGGCACTCTTTCGGAGTAGGCGAAGAGCTGGAAGATCGGATGCCCCGAGAGGCAGCTGGCTCCTTCTCCGGTGGAGGACTTGGAGCACCATCGCAGGAACTCCCTGTTCTCGGAGACTTGGAAGAAGACTATGTACAGCCCGGAGGACCATGCCAGGACATCTTTTCCAATCCATGCTAGGTTAGGAATCCTCCCTCCGCGCACCCAGCCAGGTCGCCAGGAACTCTCCCTCGTAGCCGAAGAGGCGGCCCTCTCGCTCGTCTTCGCAATTTCGAATACCCTGGGTCGCCTCGGAACCCAGAGTTCCCGGGGCAGGTGTCGAAGTCACCGGGGAGGTTAACTGGACGTACCGGGAACGCAATCAGGGTATGCAGAATCTCGGGTTAAGCGCAAACCCCATAAAACCGCGCTCGGTTTACAGCTTCCCCGGTCGGTTCTGATCGAACTCCGGGGAAAAATGTCAGGCCCGACCCTTGGCTCTAATCGACAGGAGTCCGAGCACGTCCGGGCACTTCGGCAGGGCAGAAACAAAAGCTGATTAGGATACGCAGAGGCCACGGTTGGTTCCATAAAGACCCCCATAGCGTGGCGTGATGAGGTCAACCAGCGGGGAGTCATCCGAGGCACGGCCCGATCAAAAAGTTATCCTTGCGCCATGATATACTGCCGGTACCGACATAGAAGCTCGCTAAGCTGGCCGTTCAACTCCGGTACTGCTCTTCGGCATCCTCGCAGCATCCCGGCCCGTGAACCGCGACCGGCCTGCCCTGGACCATTAAACCGACGCCCGCTGGGATCCCTATTTGCATAACCCTTACCGATCCCCGAGGAGATGTACCCCGCGACCTTGTCTCTGCTATTTAACGATCTCGCCCTCGCGATCGCGCAGCGGAGGTCGCGATTAATTGAGACGTATCCCGAGCTCCATCGGCGGCATCCTCGGCCGGCAGCCGATCCGCACCTCCGTTCTCGTAATCCTTCCACGTGGGAAAAGCCCCGCCACGGGAGACAGGTGGAAATTGTCGGGCCGAGCGGGCAACGGCATAATTCTAACGTACCTAAATACCGGGAGGGTAAATGCCCTCCGTAAAACAAAGGTAAGGCAGACAGACAGGTAGGGATTGCAACACGACGAGCAATGCTAACCACCGGGTGGCTTCGACGATGCATCGCCGCGTTTCACCGTCGACACCAAATTGTCCGGCACTCCACATCAGTGGTAACGTGCGTTACCGTGACAAACGGTCGTAACGGCGTCGACGACGCATGGAAACGAGATCGGGACCATGAAGTACAACAGTATAAGGAGACATAACACCAATGGCCGGTCCCACAGAAAGTGACTCCAGGATCTTAGATTATCGCCGATCTAACGATGAGAGCGCTACTTGGAAAATATGAGGGAACTCCGATCCTACATAACCAGAATATCTCCTACCGACGAAAATCACCCAAAGTGCTTTTAAATTTACAATTAAAGTACGCAGAGCGAAACGATAATCCGCGGATGACGTACAGAATGTGATGCTTTCAGCGCGATAAAGACAACGGGCTCACTAGTGTAGGATAATTCGAAATTGGAAAGTTTCACCGAGGAGGCGCTCTCGGTATTAGATCGGGAAAGATCGAAGAATTTTGGATCTCTTTCGATACTTGGCGTTGTATCTTCTTGTACTACTTCGTGATCGGGGCGATCGGCCGTCGTTCGATCGGCCCGGGCTATTTCGAGATACTCGAGGACTCGCCGAAGAGGATGTTCCGGGCGGTCCTCGGCGCATGCTAGCACGCACGTGGTAAATCTCGGATTCTCTTATTATACCCCTCGTTACCGCGGTTACTCGGTGCAGCGGGTCATATATTCGTATCGAGACTCTCCGGCAACAAATTAGAGGCGTCGGAACCCCCGCTGGGAGTGCGTTAACGACCCCGCAAGGTCTGACGCCGTTTCCATGGCTACCGAATCGTTCGGAGCTTTCCCGAAGGCGAAGACCTCGAGGAAGATGGGTCTACCTCCCGAGGTCGAGTAATTCCAGGCTCTCCGGGGATATCTCGGCGACGTTTCGGCCGGTCCTGTGCCGCCGAGCTGCAGGTCCAGCATCCACGTCGGCACGCACGCGGGGGCTCGGTGCACCTCCGCCGGTGATGCACGCTCGGAGTGTGGGAACAGTCGGGCATGGCGGGTAGCATTTAATCAGAGCCCACGAAGTATACGGTATAGAGGTATATGGTTCGGTTAGTTTTTGCTTGGGAGGTTGCCTGGAAATTGGCGCCAAATTAGTAAGGAGACGAGGCGAGGCTCACGGTGCCTTGGGCTGCGTGACGCGAGACATTAAAAGTAACCTCTGCTCTTGTGCAGCCCCTGCCGCTCTCGGGCTCCGCTCCAGCGGCGATCCGAGCCATCCCGGCGGACCAAGGGCCCACCGAGAGATCCGAGGGGACCGTTCGCCCCACCCGAGCAGGGCCAACCGGAGGGAACCGGAGAGAACCAGGAGGTAATCGCCGCCGAGTGCTAACCAAGGACCGACTAAAAACCGAAAAACGCGGCCGGCACTTACGCCGGCCAGTACGCACCCTGGACCGCGTTTCGGGGGTAAGATCGGGGCCTGTGGGATCTGCGATTCATACGATCAACTTTGACTAGCATGAAATTCACAGTTTCGCCTAAGACTTTCAAACGTCGACTAATGTCCCGGCCTCGCACTGATGCAAATCATTTTTCATGCGAATCCATATGTATGAGGAAAAAAAAATCCGTATGAACCGGAAAAATCGGGTCCCTGAACTCGGGGGTAAAGGAGCGGTCGCTAGGAAATCTCGGACTCTCCGGAGTGATCGGACGTACGCACCTCCACGACGGGCACCAGGTGCCGAAGGTGCATGAGCGCACTCGACGGTCCCAGTATGCGGTTGCTTTAAAAAGCTATAAATTCGCTCTCCTCCCTAATGCTCGGGTGTGCATCGACGCCCCCGGCGGTGTACAGGGCGAAAAAGGACGGTGTTAAAATTAGCACCACCTTGGGAGCAGACGTAGTTAATACGCGGTTAATCCTCGAGCCCGAGCTACCTCGGATTCGCCGAGAAGAGTCGCCGCGAACATAGTTTTCCAGAAAAAAAAAAAAAAAAAAAAAAAAACAGGCAACCATTCCCGTACCATTATGGACACGAATATCGCCGTGAGATTAAAACTCTTCAGCGGCGTCCTGCTCGTTTTGGTGTTTGCCGAAGCCGAGATTTTCCCGTCGATCGTCGATCTTTGCGAAGGTGGAGGAACTCTCGAGGCCGGTGGCAGGTGTAAGAAAAAGAGGACCTCGGATCGGATCCAGCACGCGTCCCTGGAACTCCGGCAGTCCACGGGCTAACCCTCCATTAAGGCAGGAGGTCGACCACCCTGGAAAGGTATATTTATAATTCCTTAAAACATTCTTAAAAAGTTTCACTTGCTCTCGCGAAACCCCGAGACGACGGCCGAGCCGTTTAACCCTTTAGTGGCGAGCGGAGTGCGCGCACCTTGCCGGGATTTTTGCGGGGAGAGACGTCGACACTTTCGGCGAGAGTTTTTTCTCCAGTTTTCTTTCGACATGCCAGGAGCACTTGGAACCCGGCGAACGCGGAAACGAGCCACGAGGGAGGTGCCGCGCAAGAACCGCCAGGAACACCGATGGAAAGTGTAATTACCGGGCCGTCATTGTGGTCGTGTCGAGGAGTCACTTGCTCGTCGGAAACGATCACGCGTGTCCCGCACTTAGCCGGGGCGAGTACGCACGCACGCGCAAGGGACGAACCAAGAAGGCTCGTAAAGTACTGCGTACACCCGCCGCAATGCACGACACACCGAGTACATCGAGGGAAGTAGACGGAAGTGGAGGTCCACTTCGAAGCGATCGCGACGAGTAATCTAACCCGATCACCTAACACGATGCACGCTAATCACTTTGAACTCCGTGAAAACGATTTCCTTCTTTGAGCGCCGATTTCCTTTGATCTCATACGATAAACAATGCTCGGCAGAAAGTGACGTTCGGCCTTAAGATGATTTCCACACGATAGGCGTTAAAATCCCTGATTTCCTGAGTGAATACCCCCGTCGCTGTTATCAACGATCGGAAATCCAGGGTCCACCGATTGCGGTGGAAGTCCTTATCAGGACTTCGGTTTCGAACGAGGAGTCAAAATGATGCCCGAGTAACGCACTGGGAATATTATCCCGGCTATTGCCGAGGTTATGGGTGGCAATTAGGCGGTGAGACTTTTTGGGGCTTATCCGGCCGAGCGGAGACGAAACGTTTGATTAGAAAGAAGGAAAGAGGTGGAGAAAGGCCGCGCGGAGGTCTCCCCCTAATGTATCGGCAGCGCACAGCAGCTGCATTTTGCGTTGCATGCTCGCCAGTCGGAATTGGCCCCTGCAGATTATAGATGCGTCCGGGCGATCACAGACAAACGTTTAAATCGCTAAACGTCAAATTACGCGGTCCACTTCGGGCGCGCGGCGGGCCATAAAAAATAATAGCACGCTCCGTAGGAGAGACGCGAATAGGCACCGCGCCGGTGCAACCAACGGTGCACAGCTGCGCCGAGCCCGAAATTTCCTCGGCGGATGCTTCTTTTTTCCCTACTTGCACAATCCCTGCCGGAGAATCCCCGAATTGCAGTCAACAAGGGAGATAAACGGTCTCGAGTCCCGAAGGACGCTTCTTGCAGCGGCGGCGGCGGCCATTTTGGTACCGCGCGGCGTTCCCCACCGAGAGCGCGTTTCTCTTCGCTTTTTCCTTGCCTGTCCCGAAAAACCATTAAACAATTTTTAATTCGATCTACAGGGCGTCGAATATCCAGACCACGATCACGGAAAATCGGCGGAACGTACGGAAACGTACACGCAAGGAGGAGCTTACTCGTATAGCACGTGGAGGAGCACGTTTATCCGCGGTGGGCGCGTATTACCTATCGTGGAATTCCACGGAATTCCAGGATGGTGCACAGGTAATGGCCGACCACCCACGCGGTCATTCGTGGCAACATCAATTAGCGACCGCTTACGTCGTTGGAGTCTCTCTTGTCCGGCTCGCGCCCGTAAATAGCGAGGATGCCGCGGCCAACGGGACGGAAAGATGGCCGCCATAGAGAGTTGCCACGATGACATATGAGCTACCGGCACCAGCTTTGTGCCGCCCTGAATACGCCTCAAATTGGGGACCGGGAGTACCGACGCCACGCTACCGAACGTAGTTAGGCAACTACTTGCCGTCCGATTATCATACGACGATCCGTCATCCTCTCGACCCCCTCGATGCGACATCGCGACCTCCCCCAAAGGGTGGACAAAGACCCGGTTTCTTATAAACGTATCCTACTTATAAATCCGCTCTGAAAAAAGAAAAGAATAGTTGAAGTATATATCGTTGGCGTATGTATTGTTGCCTGAATCGTATATAATTGCAAGAAATTATTATTTTGCCGAGAAAAAAAATTGCATAGTCGATTTAAACAAATTTTGTTTACCCTTCTTGACATTTCTTGCGACGTATTTGTTGCAGCGATGCATATTTCTTTGAGTCAGCCAACTTTTTTTTTATCTCAGGGCGTTA